AGTAGGAGTAGGAGTAGGAGTAGTGGGAGCAGTGGTGGTGGTAGTAGTAGTAGTAGTAGCAGTAGTAGTAATAGCAGTAGCATCAGCAGCAGCAGCAGCAGCAACAGTAGCAACAGCAGCAGCAGTAGCAGTAGCAGAAGTAGAAGTAGTAGTAGTAGTAGTAGTAGCAGTAGGAGGAGGAGGAGGAGGAGGAGTAGGCGGAGTAGGAGTAGGAGTAGGAGTAGGAGTAGGAGTAGGAGTAGGAGTAGGAGTAGGAGTAGGAGTAGCAGTAGCAGTAGCAGTAGCAGTAGCAGTAGCAGTAGCAGCAGCAGATGCGGTAGTAGTGGGTAGTGGTGGGTAGCAGTGGGTAGCCTTGAGTAGTAATGGGTAGCAGTGGGTAGTAGCAGGTGGCAAGTAGTAAGTAGTGGTAGGCAGTGTGTTGCATGCCTTGCTACACAGTGCTTTCCGCTCCCTGCGATTTCTGATGTCCTTGAGTGTGATGAAGAAGCGCTCCACAAGCTCGTCTTCCTGGCGTTCTGAGGTATGGACAGAGCATCTATGCCCTGCCACAGCTACAACTGAAGTCACACAGATCTTCAAAGGCATTCTTCGCACAAATTTTGCACTGCACGTATATTGCACTCGTTATGTGATGTTCTTGCTGCTGCTGCTGCTGCTGCTGCTTCTGCTGCTGCTGCTGCTGCTGCCGCTGCTGCCGCTGCAGCTGCCAAGCCTCTGCTGCGGGGTGCTACTGCTACTTGCGATTATTGTGGTTGCCGTGGCTGTTGTTGCAGTTGCTATGGTTGTTGAATTTGTTGAGGTTGTTGCGGTTGCGGTCACGGCTGCGGCTGTTACCGCTGTTGCAGTTGCTGTTGTTGCTGCTATGGTTTTTGTGATTTTGTGTCTGTTGCGGCTGTTTGGGCTGCTGTCGCTGTGGCTATTGTCGTGGTGGTGGTGGTGGTGGTGGTGGTGGGGGTGGCGGTGGCGGCGGCGGCGGCGGCGGTCGCGGCGGTTGTGGCGGGTGTGGTGGCGGTTCTGGTTGGTTGTGGCGTTGGTGGCGGCGGTGGTGGCGGTGGTGGTGGTGGTGGTGGCGGTGCTGGTGGTGGTGGTTGCCGCTGGCTGCTGGCTGCTTGCGGCTGTTGGAATCATATAGCCGGCATGGCCAGCTTTCCCAGCAAGATGTGCTGGAGTTTCCCGTCCCAGCAAGACCCCTCGTGCCGCCTTGCTTGCAGAATTCGCCCCTGCAGTCGGAGGAGTCTTGGGGTCAAGTCTTGGTGTGTTCCAGCGTCAGAAACAACGGATTTGGGAGAAGCTTGCTCGACAAAGCCAGCATGTAACCTGCCGTCCCTCTGAGCGAGTGTACGCCGATTCACTGATGCATTGATCCCGTTGGTAAGATGTGCCATACTCCCACAGCGCACTCTACATGGTGGCTGCAAAGGATTGACTAGGCTGACGCTGCTTTTTGAGAAAGATGAAAAGGTTACCCCGACTACCGACTCTCAAGAGCGAAGCCTGCGTCGCGCCGTTCGCCGAAGTAGTCGAGAAGGCGGAGGGCCTACACCAGAAGTGAAGATGCAAGAAAATGTTGAAGCAAGAGCCCAGGAACAAACAATGTTCAGAAGACGTTTCTCTGCTTCGGGAACTACAGAAGTTGGTTGGCTAAGGCTCTCTCTGAAAACCCTGGGTGGTCTTGAACCGCCCACTTTGTCGCTCCAATCGGTAGCAGGGCAAAACCCCCACCAAAGCCTTTGCTGGGCGCGCCTGGGCAATTGCATCGGACACCTCTGCATCGAGCTGGTCTGCGATGCGAGTCGCATCCTCCGGGCACCAGCCGCCAAGGAGGTTCTGGGCTGCGTCTTTTTCTCTCGATGCACGCAGCATCTGCCTGGCGGCTCGGGCTCTGAAGGTTCAAAGCCTACGCCACCTTAGAATTAATCAATTTAGGCTCTCACGTGGAAGTGAAGCCTCTGAAGAGAAAATCGACATCCATCTAGCTCCCTTTTCAAGGGTTGCCATCTGAGACTCGGCCCAGTCCTGAACAACCCCCAGAGCTAACACACTCTGCGTCTAAATGCGCAAATCTCACCACGTCAATCGAAGCTGAGAGCCGCTTTGCGAGTGCTTGGCTTCTCTGTGCTGGAACAAGGCACCGAAGCTGTTGAAATATCGGTCACAGATGTTGCAGTGGGGGAATTCGTCCGTGCTCTCACTGGCATTGCCGTCGCAAATCGCCTGGCGAAGGAACTGGGGTGCTTTCTGGCGGACGAAGTCCTTCACCTGACTTGCACCTTGGTCCCGACACACGGGACAGTGCCCGTTCTCCAGGTGCATAGTCACGCCAGAGACCGAAGAGCTGGCAAACTTGCGACATGCTGGGCAGTATTTGTCTCGGGGCATGTGTGTTCGCATGTGCTGGTGTAGGTTGTTCAGATTTTCGAAGAGTCGGCCGCACGTTTCACATTCGTACTCAAACCAACCGTGGCGATGGCATGCACCGTGGTAGCAGCAACCACGACACAGGCCGTAGTCGCAGTCATATGCGGCTTTGTTGCCGCAGTCGCTGCAGTAGGCCATCGTGACAGAGCAAAAGCTTTTCGCTGCAGAAGCTCGAGCCCGGCTCACATGCATATCCAAACTCCATGACAGCATACCCGCCAATTTCCGGGAAGCCTCTCTTCAAGGGGTCTCCCACCTGGTAGTATCTTCATCTGCTGCTGGGTGTACCAAACAACAAACCCTTTCTGCGATGTCCTGCTATATTTGCCACTGTGGGTGGGTGCCACGACAATCCTGGTAGGCGGATGCCTGTGAGCCTGTGAATTCAGCCCATGGTGCGTTCTTTTAAAACATGCCCGATTAAAGGACTGCTCCCCACCCCCGAACTATGCACTATGCCCACACACGCTGATGCGGGGAAAGTGCCAGGAGTTTCTGTATCAAGAAGGTCATGCTTTGAACGTTGTCAGCCAGAATGAGGGCATCCGTGATAGTTCTTTCGGATAAGGCCTGCCTCGTCGACGTAGACAGGGATGAAATTCAAACCACAACACACAGCCGTTCGGAGCAAGTCACCCAGACACTTCTGCAACCCCAAGCCCCAATGAGAAGGACTTACAATCTGGTCAAGGTGAACCGCAGGAGAGTCACACGAGCCTGTGCGAGCTGTTGGAGAGTTGTCAGCGGTGAGGGCGTGCGAGAGCCTGTCCAAAAGCAGTCTTGTTTAGAGGCAGCAGGTGTCCTTGTGGGATTGGAAAACAGACACAGAAAGAACCCACTGGATGACCGCAGTCCCTCTTGCCGAGGGTGGCCATGATGCAGCGTGTGAAAGAACCAAGAGCCTCTCCGATCTGCCCTGACTCAGCTCTCAGCAAACACCTGCATGCACAGATGGCGTTGCGCACCTCCGGCATTGTCGTACGAGGCAGCATGGCATTCCACCTCGCGGTAAGCCAGATTAGACGCGCGCGTGAGCTCGCAGGCTCGCATCATCCCAAGCATCTGAAGTACTCCGAGCCCCTCAACTCTAGGAATCACATACCGGCCTGCCGCCTTGCAAAAGCTGCGCTGGGCTCGGGGCTACAGTGACTACAGGTCCGAAGACAGCGCTGCCCGCCTCGTTTTGGAGAAGGTCCGCCTCGCGCCGGAATCGCCCTGGCAGAGAGCCCGTCACAGAGAAGGGGCTCAGAGTTCCACTCGTACGAAACCCTTCTAACTGCTTCACTCTGCAGACTGTAGGATGCGCGTACATGAAGAAGCAAAAACCGAATTTCTCGTGGTTCACCAGCTTCGAAGCTTTTCAACAAATGTGGCTTGGCAGAACAAGCATGCAAGAAAACCTGCTCAGCGCGGAACGCTTTGTTTGAAAACAGTCCCCATCCTCACGGATGGGCACCCGACCCGGAACCGAGCCATTGCGCCACCGAGTGTACATATTCCTTCGAAGAAAATTAAAGCTCCTACGACTCTGGAAACATCAACTTGCACTTGCGGATATTGTACTAGATACCAGTTAATTACTCGGCATGCCCCAATATAAAGAGAACAAGGAATCAACAGCCCAACAGCCGTGGGAACCCAATCCCGCAGCGCCAAAGCAGCCTGGACGACTCCCCAGATCCGGCCTACGGCGTCCCGCAGCTCCCCGATGTTGCTGGAGGGCCCACCCTGGGTAGAGCCGAGGCTGTTTCGTCTAGGCTTGGGGTTTAGGGTTCAGGGCATAGGGTTTAGGGTTCAGGGCCATGAGGCCCGGATCGGCACTCCGAAATACGCACTTCTTGCATGAGGAAAGGGGAGGGCAAGAGGACTTCCAGGGGGCTGCCGGAACTCCGGGCCGCCCTGCCGAGGCTCCTCCCGTCGTCGCGTCGCCCCCGACCTGACCCAAGGCTGGACTCAACACATCTCAGGGCCCATGAAGTTGCATTTAAGGTTTGGTGGAGATAAAGGCGTTGGACTTGAGTGAGATGCCAGACAAGGCACCCACTCGTGGTTCTGAATCACACAATCGCCCAAACAGTTAAAATCCAAGACTATGGACTACGGGCATACCTTCATTAACTTTAACTATGAAGGTATCCGCCCCTCGAAACAGTATCTCCAGAACCCGAAAACGTGCCGCCCTTCGTCGCCTCCAAGGCTGCCTTCAGCTCCTCGCGGAGCTGCAAGGGCAGCTGCGGGTCCGTGGGCCTCGGGCTGGGCCAAGGTTTTAGGGTTTAGGGTTTGGTTTAGTCAGTGACTTCTTCGAGAGATGCACTCTCTGGCTTGGATAGACATTCAACCTTTCAACCCTGCAGAATCATAGTTCCCAAGACAACCGAAAAAGCAAGGACCCGTCGTAACCCTGATCCAGTTGCCTTGTCTTGCCCCAGAGACCTGCAAAACCCTGAACTGCATCTTTGACCCAAAAGCCCAAATCACTGCAGAAGGGTTTCTGGTCAGGTCGGCCATGCGATGGCCCGAGAGATTTGGGAAAGAGGAGTCTGAGCGATGGGAGTCTCAAATGTTAGAAAAATGCCGTAAAGCGCAACCCGATGTGCTTGACCCAATCTCCAACAGCAGCCAGGCCAATCAAACCCGACAATGATCTGGGTTTAGATGGATGTCAGACCAATCAGGGGTTTAGACTGTGGTGCTTCATGCAGGGGTGTCGCATTTCAGGCGGGCAAGGGGTCGGGCCGAGGGTCTAGATTCTGGACCTTCTGGAAGCTTCGGATTACAGGTTCGGATTACCCGAGAGTGTGCATCGACACGTCTTGGCTGAATCCCATTGAGCTCCGAAATCTACAATAATGCCTCCCTGGCTACTTGCGGCTATGCTGCAACTCTTGGATCCCCAAACCAGCGGGGGTCGCTGGCGCATCAGGAAAGTTACAGACACAGAGCCCAGTCCTCTCCCGACTAAACTCCGAGCTAAACAGATTTGAACGATCAGGGCCTCATCAGCTACCAGTTCCGGATCGCGAACCACAACTCCAAGAAATACCACGTTGCAGCCAAGCCGCAAGAGGTGAAGCGCGATGCAGTGAAGGGCCGTGACCTGAGAGGCTCCGATACACAGGTTGGCACAGAAACCCTGGGCCTTGGAAGCTTGGCCCCAGCCCCGGCCCATATCCCTAGAACTTCCACTTCCGCCATCTTACACCACAGGTCCTCAACCCGGTGATACCTACAAAGTTGTACACTCGGGCCGCCCACGGAGGACTCGCCAGCCTGGCCTGCACGGAAGTCGCGGAGCTTGAGGAGACCTCGCCGCAATTCTCGCTGTTGCTACTCTTGTTCGTATGCCTGTTGTTATCCTTAGTCCTCACCACCACCACCACTACCACTACTCCCCCACAACTACGACGACGACACTACTGCTACTGCCACTGCCACTGCCACTGCTACTGCAACTGCCACTGCCACTGCTACTGCAACTGCCAATGCCACTGGCGCTGTGCCACTGCCACTGCCACTGCTGCAGCTGCTGCTTCCGCTACTGCTGGTACTGCGACTACTACTGCTAACACACCACTACTCCTGCTCCTGCTGCTCCTGCTGCTGCTGCGCTGGTGCTGGTGCTGGTGCTGGTGCTGGTGCCGGTGCCGGTGCCGGTGCCGGTGCCGGTGCCGGTGCCGGTGCCGGTGCCGGTGCCGGTGTCGGTGCTGGTGCTGGTGCTGGTGCTTGGTCTGGTGCTGGTGATGCTGCTGCTGCTGCTACTACTACTACCACCACGACGACGACGACTACTACTACCACCACGACGACGACGATCAGCAGCAGCAGCAGCACCACCACCACCACCACCACCGCCACCACCACCACCACCACCACCACCTCATCAGTACTACAAGGAACAGTGGCTGTTTCAGCGGTGCTGGTTCCTGGTACCAGTAATTACTGGTTGGTATCAGGCTTGCTATTGCTGTCCTTCCGCATGCCCCTGTGAATGCTGTGAAAGCGAAAGAGATCCTAATACAGAACCATCCTCGGCTAGGACAAGTGGATTCATACATGTCGGGGATTAAACCTTCATGCGGTCTTATCCGGCGGCTTTCGTAGGTCGTAGGATTCGACATCGGCCATCATGAAGAGCTAAACTGCAGCAACCTAGCTATGCACTGCAGCGCGAGCCTTGGTATATATACTGAGTGCGATCAAGACTTGCACAACAAAGCTGAGCACTGAGCTTTCCATGGTGAATCCGCGCACTTCTACACCTGCAACTTGCACTTGACCGGGATACATTACATCTTGTTGCTCTTGCCTGTTTCAGGCAGCAGTGACACGACTCGTTGCGGCGAAACAATAAAACATCCGGCAGCAGCACAATCGCCCAAACTAGGCGAGAGATATCGTCTAGGGCCAGGGCATCTGCATGCAAAGCTAGTTGGCCCCACTGGTGCAGGCTGCTGAGGGAACATTCTGCATCTTGCAACAGGGGCTGGATTCGAGTCAACTTGGACGAACTGAACTTGCAGAAGGTGGTACCCGAAGCCCCTGAACTCTCGCCTGCAGCATCCGGGGCGTCGATTCCGTGGTTCAGAAAGTTTCCAATCCGAAGCCTTAGGACTGACACGATCAGTAACCACAGCAAAGACAAGAGAACAAGTGATGCCGGCGACCACCAGCAGTGTTATCATATGTTCCATGTCAGCGACATGCTAACCCGACACTGACATTGAAGCCAATACCCAATACCATGTTCAACAAGTTCAGTACTGATGTTCTGCTGGACGTTACCAGTGTATTGGTGATCATTTCATTGCGAATACCCTATTATCTCCATCGCAAGACTTATCGTGATGATCACCATCGCCACAGGCTTCATTCACTACTGTCGTCATCAGCATCATCCTCATGATCATCGTCATCGTCGGAATGACAATCACGATGATTTGACCTTGGCAAAGGCAGAAGCCCCTTGTTCCAAGCCTGCGTGAGCACTCAGAACTCCCCCTCAGCTCCCAGAAAACATGAAGAATTGCCTGAATCCCCAAGCTGCTGCAACTCCTGGAAAGGTCGTCCCGTGAGCTGTTCACCGTGCTGCATCAAGGTCGGGCCCCGGGCACAGTACCTAGAATCCGTCGCAAAGCATGGCTGCTGCGGACCTCCAGCACTCCAGGTCTTCGAGTGAAGGCTCTGAGTTGAGGTGTAGGGTCCGGGGTTGTGACATGACCTGGGGCCTGGGGTTCAGAAACCACACCTTTCATGCGAATGGTATCAACAGTGGCACAACAACAACAACAACCACGACGACAACCACGACGCCGACGACGACGACGACGACAACGACAACGACGACAACGACAACGACAACGACAAACGACAAACCAACGAACAAACGAGCAAACAAACGCGTTTTGCGTGATCATAGGAACTACCATTGTCGCCGACCTCAAGCTCATCCTCATCCTCCTCTCATCTTCTCTTCGCCTTCGCCATCCTCATCATCATCATCACTATTGCTGGATAACCCAAGTTGCTGCAATTGCTATGTGGTGTGATAGGTGTGCTATCAGCTGTCAACCGCTTGTGTTTTAATATCTTCTTTTCATAGCATTAACCTCGCATCCACACCCCTTTTTCTTCTTGATCTACAGAAACGCCTATCTAGTTCGTCACAGCGATCACTTCTGCCATGTGACTGTGTGAAGAAGAGCTGCTGGTTGCTACCAGTCCGAAACTCCGAAGCTCCGAAAGCTGCGCCTGGTTGCAGGCCTCTTGGAGCGTACGGATACGGGCCTGCCATCAAAACCACTTGTGGACTCTGGAGTTGAAAGGCGAGGCTGCAAGAAAGCTTAACAAAAATCCAGGCCCTCTTCCATGCTTGTTGCTATCCAGGGCGGCTTCTTCTTTCGGGTCTCCGAGGTAAAACATGTCTGGAAAAGCTTTGACCCTCTGGCGGCCTCCAATCCAGCCCTCACTCCTGGCATCGTCTTCCCGAAGAGGAGGCACTTCACCCGGGCCTAACGTCGCAGTTGCCGAGCTTCACCGGAAGAAAATGTCAGAGGATCGGAGGCCAAACGCTCAAACTCTTGCCGAGTCTGCCGATAACAGTGGCTCCTCGTGTATGGAGATGACCCTTCCACTCACTTCCCAAACCCGCATTGAGCCCAAAGGATACCACGAAAGCCCATGGCCTGCAACCCGGAAATCACCAGCGTTATGATATAATGCTTTCGAGTAGTAGTTTTGCTGCACGTAGTACTTCTGGAAGCAGCCGTAGAGATAGAGATCGTCATGATGATCAGATCTGAGACATCAGCCATGGAGTCACGAGCCAGTATTATGTCAATTGGCACAAGGAAAGCTGCTCTCAGATCTCGAGACGGAGCCTTCAGCCGCGGGATGCGTGCCAAAGGGAGCAGCTGCCGCCTTGGCTTCTTGGATATCGGACCCAGGCTCGGGCTCTGATTTAGGGGCCGTGATGGCTAGAATAGGGTTTTTGAACCCATCTAACTATAATTACAATAGGGAACCCCCAAAGTAGTATTGGTAATTGTTTAAGCCCCTAGATTACGCTTTTAGTGTTGTTTCCAGTGCCCTGGACTACAGCTAGGGCGGTGGATCTGCAGGCCGCGACGAGCAAACATGATGTTGCTGCTTCTGATGGTGGGAGTGGCGCAGATGATGGTCGGCGTGAGCCTCATGAGGATGATGATGATGATGATGATGATGATCATGATCATGATGATGATGAGGATGATGATGAGGATGATGATGATGATAATGAGGATGAGGATGATGATGATGATGATGATGAGAATGATGATGATGATGATGATGAGAATGATGATGAGGATGAGCACGATGATGAGGACGAGGAGGATGATGATGGCGAGGATGACGGTGAGTATTGTGGGGAAGGTGCTGATGGGGACGAAGATCACAATAATGAGTTTAGGTTTCAGTTTCTGTGAAAAGCCATCGACAGTATTGGAGTTGCCGCTTTCGGATTCGGGCTTCGGAGAGTCGGCTTTCATGGTCAAGAGCTCCCAGTTTCCAGGCATGAACGGCTTGCCCCATTGATCGAAACCTCGTGAGAGATTTGGAGCTTAGGCTTCTCAGCAGGCACGGACTTGCAGAACGTCGATGATGAAATCGCAAATCGCTTGCCAAACTATTCTCCCCACCTGTTGATAAAGGTCAAACGAAAGCTACCGCAGAATGTGCAAGAAGGACACGGAAGAAACCTGAAGATGAGCTCCAGAACCCACCTCCGACGGTCCAAGTTCGCGACTCCACGTCGCGCAGGCTCTGCAAAGGCCCGTCGTAGGAAGCGAACATCTCCGCCGACCTGTAGAAGACGATGGGATACGGACGATATCAGAAACTTGGTGCTGCTTGAGAATTACCGAGTGAAGTGCCTGACAGGACATGATCTCCTTCACTTCCCCTAAGAGCCCAGCTCCAGAAGAGGCGGCAGGAGGAATTCATGGATATGCTCCAGTGCCTTGCGATTAGAAGTGCAAAGCTTCAGCAAAATTGTGTCCGCTGCCAAGGGAGGATCGCCCAACCAGTGCAAGTGTCGCGGGATTGACTCCAAGCTCGGAGCCCGATGTATCCGCGACACATGCTTCTAGAAGACCAGATGGTAAAGCTCAAAACATGTCGCCTGGTCTAAGAAGCAGTGAAGCTGCGCAACAGAAGCAGTTGGGTTGGCTGGCACAACACATCTGCTAACCGCTCCTTTCGCAGCCTGCATGCTATAAATTTCAGCACTAGTGCTGATGTGATGTGGTGATTGTGGTGTCTGTGCTGACTATGTTGATGGTGACGTTGGGATAATATGATGATTGTGATTGCGCACACGAGCGCAATCCTCCAATCTACTGTGGCACACTAGTCACTAGACTCCGCTCTGTGCGTTGCGCGCGTTGCGCCTCTGTGCTGATTGGATGCTGGAGCCTGGCCGCAGTTCCGTTGAGGGCGGAGGGCGGGTTCATGAAGGGATCGGGCCTTTGGGTTCGGTCGGGGGGAAATCTCATGACTGATGCTTCTCAGCGGAGCTTTGGTTTCGGGGCCGTCGAAAGCTTCTGCTTGCATGTAGTACTTGCAAGCTAAACCACATGCCACAAGCCATAAGCCAGAGGTAGACATGCCTGAACTGCTTCCCAGAACAGGGTTGCAGCTAAAGGTCAAAACAAGGCATCGGCAAGAGCAATATTGTGACAAATGCGCACAGACCTTCACGAAGCCTTTCTGAAACGAACCCCGAGACTTGACAGGGGTCCGGGAGAGCTGGGTCAAAGCAGCCCCTTTACTCTGAGACATAAGACAGCACGACATGAAGCTAAAGGCCCAAAAGGAATCCATTCAAAAACGCTCCGAGAAGCAGGCGAGAAAACAAAGGAGTGCCTTAGGCCGCGCACCACATCGCACAACTCCTCCGTCGGTAAAGCCTGAGTGGCTCAGCACTTGCGCTTACGTGTCCTCTAGTTCTTGTGTCGTTCTCCTTGAAATTGCTTGTCTGACTCCGCTGGCTTTGTTACAGCCGCAGTCATAAAATCGCCATGATCATGGAAGTTCGTCGTCGGGTTACAGGTTTCAAGTTGACGAAATCGCTACCGAGGCCATGAATCCTGCACCCCTGACATGTTGACATTGAGGTGAAACAGAAACTCGCTTCGGTTGGAACCTCACAAGCGGCAGAGGCCCGCACCACTTGCCGCAGGATGATCGCGAGGTTCTGGGCCTTTTCATGGTACAGCACTAACGCACCAAAAAACCCATAACTTCCGTCTGGGCCACCCTGTTCTTGAACATGAAACACTAACGTGCTATATGTCGAAGATGTTTCAGTGCGAGAACCGGGCACAGTGCACTCCAGGGCCCTAAAAAGCGGCAGCAAACAACTACGAAAAAAGCCGTCAAACGAGCTTGGCGAGACCCGCTTCGGATCGATGAGGCACATCTTGCCTGTCACAATGGCTTAGGTAGCAGCTGAACCCACAAGGGGAACAATCCACGGTCTCCAGGTACGGCATTCAGCATCAAGAGTTCTTTTTGTAAAGTCCCGGTGAAGCTTGGAAGCCTGAACGATTTGCAACCAATATTGCGAAAGCCTTGGCAGGTACTTGCCAGGGGTCTCACCAGAATTGAAACACGGACTATGAAGGGGAATGCTTTTCTTACCAGGGTTGTGGCTTGCATCATGCATTCGGGGAGTATTATTGCCAGATGAAACCAAACTGCCAAGCCCATGAGAAAGCTTTTGCGTGCCATTTGCCTGAAGCAGCTTTCCCCGGTGGGGGCGCAGTGCAGCTGATCGGGACACCTTTTCACCAGCCCCAGGCAGTGGACGATTCTGGGCAGATGGGTCTGGGAGTTTGAGGTTTAGCACTTCAGGGTGTTGCTGGGCTTGGGGGTTGCGATTCGTTCCGCTGCCTATGGTTGGTACTTTGCATGCTTCAGGGTTTAGGGGTTTAAGGGTTTAGGGTTTTTTTGTTTAGGATTTAGGGTTTTAGGGTTTCAGTCTGCTTGGCTTCGGTTTCGGGAGCCTGGAGCTCACGCAGCGCCCGAAGACTTCGATCGAGTCTTTCGGGGTTTCGATACAACAACCATATAGGTAGAATGTGTAGGAATCATACTGCATAGGAAAATTCTCAAGCGTCCATAATCATGTTAGAAAGCATTACGGCTCCTGTACTAGCCCTGCGAGAACTCACGTAGCGAAAATATTGAATGAGCTTCGACAGCTGCCCCAGCCTTCTGGTATCCGGTAACCATGGTACGGCACGGAGGATACTGACATCTAGTGAACCTGTGACTTGCTAAGAATAGGGCCAACCCAAGTCCAGAGCCATGATCAAAAAAAAAACATGCCTTCAGCTCGCACAACTGTTGGCCAGAGAGCCCAAAAACCTGCAAGCCCCTGTCTCAGAGCCTCCCTGCCCAAAACCCACGTCATTGGCCTAGGCTGCGTTCTGCCGGAGTAAACAGCCGCTCGAGCTGTTTCGTGTCCAGAGGCGGGGCCTTGCTGCAAAATCTCGGGCTTTAGAGATTGAGCTTGCTCATGGGAACACCGCTTGGATTAATCACGAATGAGCCGACTGCTTTATGTACAACCTCGAGTTTGTGTGAATCTCTCGGCCCGAAGGCATGCAGTGCACGCCACTTTTCTGCAACTCCGGCGATGAAACGGAGTGCGGCTTGAAAACCCATCGTTGAAGTGCGTGGCGTTGCCACGGCATGATCACTACTTCGTCATGATCAAGACCTTGAAGCCCTTGCTGCAGAAGTTCGTGCCAGAGTTCCAATTGAAGTAGCTCAGGCTGGAACTGCCGCAGCTATTGCCGTTGCCATATCCCCGGACATAGGGGAAGTCAATCTCCTGGGGCACAAGAGCAAGAAAAAGAGCAAAACATGGATACAGCTCCTTCAGAAAAGCTAACATAGCAGCTAAAACCTGGAAGCCTGTTGGTGTCAAGCTTTTTGACGAGGGGCTTCTGGCACGGCACCTCCCTTGCCGGTGCACTTCCACCCGCCGGATGGGGGTGTCTTGCTGCGGAGGCAGATACGACCCCAGGAGCCTGAGCCCTTCCCACACTCGCAGCCTCCGCCATAGTTGGACTTGTCCGAAACGAGCTCACCCTCGTACGTCTTTCCATCAGTAGCACGGATGGCTTCAATGATTTCGCCCTCGTGCTGGAGCTTGTAGGGATGGGTCGACTTCCAGCTGTCCGGCGTCTTGAAAAACCAGGCATGGGACATCTCCCCACTGTCTTTGACGTAGCCCAACAGCACATACTTGCCCAAGTCTTCCGAATATGTTGTGGCAGTCCCACTCGTCCACGTCTGTTTCCAGCCCTTGCCCTCGCAATCTGACAAGCTCGAGCAGGTCATGGACGCAGATTCCGGCTTCTTGCAGAGTGGGCCAACGGCCAGGCAGTTCGAACCTGACACTTTACACTGGGAGTAGACACCACCCTCCACCGAAGTGTACTTGCCGTCACAACCATCTGCTCCCAGCTCGTCACAGCCCGCAGGGGTTGCACCTGTGACGTCTCCGGCGCACTCAGGAGCTTCATTGTACTTCAGGCCAGAGGACTGGCAAAGCAGGAAGAGCACAACCTTCCAAGACTGCATTGCGCGGACTCGGGCTACCCCTTGAAGGTATCAACGGCTGCTGCTGATTGTTGATATGTCGTATACCGAAAACTCAGAACCCAATCTGACAACTGTCGTGCATGGACGCCACGTGTGTGGGTGTGTGATCCAAATGAGAAGGAAGGGGCTCACCTCCACACGGCCACCTGCCTTTGCAACAGGACAGTCATCTGGATCCATAATGACAGGAGGATGGTGGTGAAGGAAGAGGAGAAGGAGGTCATCATCATCAATATCAGCATCACAGTCAGACTCAACATGACCTCCAGCAGTATCTCTATCGTCGCCATCATCATCGTCATCATCGTCAAAGCACCGTCACTATCACTGTCACTGTCACCGTCACCATCCCATTCCCCATCCCATCCGCATCGCTATCGCCGTCATTCATCGTCATCATCATCATCATCATCACCATCATCACCATCATCATCGTATTGTGGGCACGGTTTTGCTGCGATGCGACGATTAGCACTCTGATGGCTGGCTGCCGTGCACTTGATCAGCGCTCTTGCAGCTGCAGGTACGAGTATTGATAGTACATTACCGCATATGTAAAACTGGAGCATGCTGTTAACAACCCATTCAGCATTGAGCTGGGAGTGCTACGACCTTGTCCCACGGCTGCAGCTCCTCCAGCGAGGCGAGTTTAGAACACATATGAATGAATGTGACCTCGGAGTTCAGGTACTTCTCTCCCTACGACCTACCCACGCCCAAGCGGGCTAGTATGTGCGGGGCAAGGTGAATTAATATGGGATATCAAGGATGTAGCGAGGGGCACAATCAGCTGATAACGTTCCGGGCAAGTGCTACGAGGAATTCCATGAAAGCATAAATGTAAAGCATGACTGGGATGCCTCCGCTCCCTTCTTCATCCCTGCCCCTGGACGAAACCTCACCCCTCCTAACGGTTCTTAAGATGCCTCTCTTGCTGCGCATTCACTTGCAACCCGAGGGACTTCGTTCAGTCTGAGGGTGAACTATGGAGGGCCGTAGGAACAAAGCTCCGGCTCTGTTGTTTGGCAAGGTTCAAAACCGACGGGGATGGAAAAAGTGATCGGTCAACCTCTGGAACCCTTCTCTCCCTCTCCTCGAAGATGGTGTTGTCCAAAGTTGCCGGAGGAAGCCTCTGTGGCATCGTGGGTTTGCCGGTATCTGTGTCCTCTTTCCAGCATTTCTCCACACGGTCAACTTCTTTAGCCACGAAACAACACAAATCTAAAAAGTGCGGTGCCAGGATCACGAGACAAGGACCCGATCGCGGCAACAAGGGCCATCCAAAGCTCTACCTCTACTACTGAGGTGTGGATGTTGATGCGGCTGAAGTATTTCGTCTTCCACTATCTGAACTCTCTTGATGAGAAGGTGGGGTCAAACATCGTGTCTCCTCCTTGCCACCACTGCCTCCCATGACAAGAGGAGGGGGTGGAAACCGGACATCTGCGTGAGCTTCTTGATGTAAGGCGTGACTTTGAAGACTGCAGCTCTTCTTTACTGTCCAGCAATCGTTTGATGAGTTGAGAAGAGTCCCTCGCCGGACGCCCCAAGCCCCAAGCAGGGCCGGCATTCAACAGAACTCGATCATAGTGACGGCGTTTAATCTTCTCCGCGTGAAGAGACGTGGGTGCGGTCGCCGACCGCATGGTCGCATGGTCCCAAGCCGTCGGTCTGCTTTCGGAACCGTGTTTCTCACCCTGTCCGTGTTGCTGGGTCGAAGCAGTGAAGCAGGGCTTTTGCCGTTATTGTTTCGCGGCCACGTTCGTGGTGACACAATCAGCTACTAGATAAATGCATGTACAAGGAGCAGCAGCCTGTCACGTGTCCGTTTCGACACTGCGAAATCCGCAACCCGATCCACCCAATGCTGGACCATGGCAAAGATGCAAACCATAGTCCTAAATCCGAGCCCCACAACCCACCACGAATTGCCCAGAGGGACTCCCAATCCTTTATATAACCCTAACACTAGCCCACACACGTCGAGGTGCAGTTTCCAGTGCAGCCGCTTGCCGAAAGGAGGTGGCGGAGGTGCCTGGCAGTGCAAAGGGCCGGCAAGAATAGCAAAGTTGTCTCTGCTTTGTTTAGTTCATCTCTTTCCCAGTTCAAGCGTTGGGAATGTGTCGGGTTGAAGGTCCTTTACACAGGACGCCGAGGCTTCGGACAGGATGGAGCGGTCGTCACATGGTGAGCAGCCTTCAGCCATCTTCATCCTGTTGACACATCTCAACAGAAACCTCTAAGATGACTACCGGCGTCCACAGAGGCAACAACTGCTCAGCAGTACCTGTGTCTGTTTTCGGGCCTTTGCCTGTCTCATCTGGGAATTTGTGCTGGTTTTGCTTTGTGAGACAACGGAATCCTGATTAGGATTAGGGGCAACTCCCAACAGGTCCTAGATCTGAAACCCATAGCAGCTCGAAAGGGCCACCGAATCGGCCAAGGAAATCCTTTCTGCAGGCGCCGGGCCTTCCCCATGGACTGCCTTCGGTTGGCAGGCTGCCTGGTTCCGGGTTTGCTATCAGCTCGTTGGATGGAGGTCCAGAACAAGGATTGTGTGCGGGGGGTTGGCTTTGGACTTTGGGTGGATGTTGCGCGTTGAGGGTGATCATCTGTAGCTTGGGGACTCCTGAAGTGTCTTCGGAGCTGTGCTTTTCTGACCGAGATTGATCCCCCGACCTGCAAAGAGAAGTAGACAGGGCGAAGCAGAGTAGCAATGACTCACGCCGTATCATCTGAGACTGGAATGTCCCACGCTGCGAAATCGAGCGAAGTGTCACGACTGCCGGAGAGATTCCCCTTGGAGGTGGCTATGCCGCTATGCGAACAGAAACCCCAAACGGCCCATCGGCCTGGAAGCATCCTCCTTGCTTCCGGGCGCAGGCGGGGGTGGAGGCTTGCTCTTCGCCTCCCAAGATGAATTTCCTAAGTCCTGGCCAGGGTGGCCTGGAAGTCCCTAAAACCATAGAAAAAATGCCCTTCAACCGTCAGTACCTAGACAAAGTCCTGGTAAGGGGGCCTGTCCTGTTTTTTCGACCCAGGTCTCGATTCTCGAAACCTCTCACACGGCGAACGGCCCATGCCACTACACCTGCATCAACTTCACCCAAAACTACGACACAAAAACCACCCATCGCGTTGGATATGATGTCAACACACAACACCGAGACAAGACTCCATGACCCGTAACCGCTTTCATCCATCCGATGTCAGTAGGACCCATCAAACAAGACTGGCACTGCTGCAAAATTTTACACAAACCTGACGACACCGAACCCGAAGACTCTTTAAACCGCAAATCCTCGGACCCCACTGTACGCTTCGTGTAAATTCTCAAACGCCCGAATCCCAAAACCCGAGAACCCGAAACCTCCCCCAAGCCTTTGGCCCACCACGCTTCGGCGGCGGTGGCGGCCCCTTGCCTTCCGAAGGAGCCCCTTTTGCGATGAGCGTCAGTCTTGAAGGTGTAGGAACACTGAACCCTTAACCCGATAGTTTGCGGCAGGAAGGGCATCTGAGACAGCCCAAAACCCTAAATCCGATAGTGATGCAGCCTCAGAGCCCCAACCCCAACTATCTGCCACGGCAGCGAAGGGACTCTAGGCCTCATGCTGTCGTTGGAACAAATCCGACGCGTGGAAGGACCCACATCATGCTTTTGCTTGTGGTTTGGGATCTTTGGTCCAAGCCCTGTCTTCCTCAAGCTGAGACTGCCACACCAAACACAAAAACCATCAGTCTAAAGATCTGGAGATTCAGCTGTCGGCGGCCTCCTAGGCTGCAAATCTAACTACATAACTCGATCAACATCTGGGGGTTTCCGAAGATAGGGGACCCTAGTATAGGACCCTAAATAGTAGGAAAGTCCCATCTATCAGCCAGAAACCCTACATCCAATCAATCCTCTGGGCTTGGTCCTGAGACTTGGCCTGCTGTCCAAAGGTTAGCAAAATTCGCAGACCTAGAGAAGCTCAGGCAAGCTTTGACTGAGCACTGGCACCCCTAATGTAACTCCCAACCACACATACATAAACCCCAGACTCCCAGGCTCGATCCCGAAAGCCCATCTCCTCCCTGGCCTTTGGCTCCGGGTGGCTTGGCTCGCCCTGCAGGCGTTGGGGTGTACTCTTTCGAGCTCGGTCGGGTCAGGCATAGGGTTTTGGGAAAGTTTAAAGACAAAGATGGTCCCTAGCCTCTATCCGAAATGGGCCTATAGCCCTGGTCCCTCTCCAAACTCCACGAGAACCAAAAACGGAAACAACAACACGCTTGAGCCAATCGGTGTCACAGGGACAGCAATATCCTAGATCATAAATCCTCATGCCCGAAAAAACGCAGACACCCTTGTACCCCACTGCCCCAGCTTTCATGCCTAATATCCTTATTATACCCTAATACCCTACATCCCCAACATCCGCATGCCCTATCTGCCCAGGTTTGACAGAACAGCGCCTTTTGCCGCAGGTTTCGGCGGCCTGAAGGGCCAGTGCTTCGCTCGTCCGGCTTGTTTTAAACTCGACCGCTTGCGTTGTAGGGATTTCGGGGTTGGGGCCTTGCCTGCGTTCACGGATTCACATGTACACGTTTGGCTTATGACTCTATGGCTTATTGACTCATTTCTGACTTGTCGACTGCTGCGTAGCTATCATTCTGCTGCTCTCCCTGGTGATGCGGCTATCTTGCGAGTGCTCTCCTGCTCCTACCATGCATCGCCACTTTTCTTGTAGTACACCTCACAGACTATTCCATGATTCTTCTCTTGTCGCACTATCATGCTGTCTGGTCATCCACTGCATTGGTTTTGTGTTCTGCTTTTTCTGCTATAAAGTCGAAACGTAAGGATCCCCATCGCACTGATTCCTGGGTGCTTCCCTTGCACCGTGTCTAAGTCAGATCCCTATTCGGAGGCCCTTCGTATTTTGTAGCACGATCCCCAGTCAGAAACAAAGGGCACCTACTGCAAGCATCATTTTTCCTACGCGACACAGGGAGGCAAACAAACCATTACTGGTGGCACTTCCGAGCCCCAAGCACAGAGAGCAGCACCCAGTGGTCAGACTCAGCGACGTCCTTGGTTGGGAGGCACTGAGACTTTCAAACTTTCGAAGCTGACTCATGTCCAGCACATGTTGCGAACTCATGATGAATTTGCAATAATGCCCTGCAATTAAAAAAAACATATGCAGAAACAGCAAATCAAACCTTGTGTGCATGTGTATTAGATCGACAGATAGATCGATAGATCGTGAAATAGATCGATAGGCAGATCGATAGATAGATCGATAGATAGATGGATGGATAGATAGATAGATAAATGGATAGACAGATAGATAGACAGATAGACAGATAGATAGGTAGGTAGGTAGGTAGGTAGATAGACACACAGACATATGAACACGTACGTGAAGCCCAGCCACAAGGCAGAGCCTCAATCCTTCAAGGTCTGACTCTCTGCGAGCACTCTTCAAACAACCCTTCGCGAAGGTCTACTGAGGCCTGCGCTGCCTTGGCCTCGCCGTCCTTGTCGCCTGATGGATGCCGCAGAGTTGCATCAGAGCTGGACGTGCAGAGCATACGGATTTAAAGTCCAGCGCGCGGTGCAGGCTCACGTTCATCGTCTGCACGACTGGAGCTCCACAGAATGAAATCCTGCGAAACCCTACGTGAACCAGAAATCCCAGGTAAGGAGATTTGTCCATGGCCGAGTCGTGAAGACCAGGCTCATCAACATGTGAGACTGGAATCGTGCTGAAAACTCTAGGATAGAATCTGGGACCGCCACCGGAGGCATCGCTCTCCTGGCAGCCGAATCGCGAAGGCAAGCGCTAATCGACAACACGGATTTCCGGTCTCACCAGGACAGTAATGATTCTACTACTAAAAATACTAAAAGGAGCAACAACGAGGCCTTGCACCGGGCTCAAACTTCGACGCTGAGCCCTAATGCCAAACCTGGATCCGTGACAAAGCAAAAAGTTTCCAAGCAGAGCTGCCTGGTTCGCCGAAGGGTCGATGGACCTGACTGGCTTTGGGTCGTTTCGGAGATACCGGACACTGGCTGAACCCGAACTGCCAGCCGAACTCACGCTCTAAGTTCCGACCCCCTAAAGGCCGGGCCAAGCATCTCCCAACGAATGCCCTCCAAATCTTCCGGCCCACATGCTGTCGAGTCATGGACTACCTCTCATGATGCTCACTATCTTTCGCTATTTGTGATGATACTACTGTGCATGGGGGAAACTAAACAAAGCCGTCTCGCTCCGCACACAAAAACCGCTTTCAGGACTTGGCCGACATAAATCCTGCACCACTCCATCAAGACAGGGAAAAATGATAAAAAGGCAGGGCTATTGGGTGATGATTTTTCCTTGGGTTTAGTAGGCCGTGCAAGATTTCGTCCATCCACAGTAGTAGTACTCGGGCGACGACACTACTGGTACAACTCCTGCTGCCGGTGCCGCAGCTGCTACAGAGCTTTGAAACCTTCTGACTCGAGAACCCGGCTTCGATGCATCGGAGGTGGCAAGCCAATCCTCTTTGTCCTGCTTGCGTGCTTCCGTTTTAAGATTTCGGATTCTCGGTCGGCCATATTTACAACCGCGCAAGGCTATATGCCTTAGGCTTAAATGGTCTTGCGTCCGCATTCATACGCCGGCATCCAAAAACCTCAGTCTACAATCTATTGTGTTTCTTCGCAGCTTTGTGCTGACATGGTCCGAACTCGACTCCCCAACCACCAGCCGAGTTAACAAGAAATGGCACTGGTCTCGGTGGTTTTTGGCGGCAGCGGCGGCGGTGGCGATGAAGGAACCAGCCGTGCATGCACACCCCCCGCATTGCTTACGCAACTCACTGTTCCCGCTTAGCACCTACTCGACATTGCCACACTGACAAGTGCAGCAATCCTGGCAAAAAAGCCAAGCCGGTGGCACGCAGTCCTCTAGCCAAAGCCGCACCTGTGTGGGAACCCGCTCCCTGCCCCGTTCGAAGATGTCGTAGACCTCATAGCCCTCCTGCTCCTGGAGGTGACGCCTGAGCACAGCAGCGTTCATGACAAGAAGTACTACTTCTAGTAAATGACTCTAATTGCTGGAGTCTGCTTGTCAATGTCATCATGTACGTTACCAAGCTAGTGAGCATTGTCGATCGGTGACGATTGGCACAACGTGCCCTCCGGCTTGGATGCTGTTGGCTTCCAAGCTCAACAGTGGGTGTAGGGCGCCCAGACGTCACCCTAAGGAATCAGGAATGTAGTCGAGCACAGGGTAATGTCATAACTTCGAACAAGCAGGGGGTAAATGTAGCGACGGTGGTAGTAATAGTGGTGGTCGTAGTCGTAGTCGTAGTCGTAGTAGCAGCTGGAGGGGGAGGATGAGGAGGAGGAGGAGCAGCAGTAGCAGCA